ATGCTGCTTTCAGCTTTAAACGGTATTTCTAGGGTTTAGGGTTTAGGGTTTAGGGTTTATTGTTTATTATTTAGGGTTTAGGGTTCATTGTTTCTTGTTTACTATCAATTGTTTGTTGTTTATTGTTAAAGCGCAGGGTCTAGGGTTTAGGGTTTAGGGTTTTGAGGGTTTAGGGTTTTGAGGGTTTAGGGTTTAGGGTTCTTATAAACCCTAAACCCTAAACCCTCAAAACGATGCTTTGGATGTTAATCTTATTGATAGACTCTCAGCTCCTATCGGATATTTCAAGGGTTTAGGGTTTAGGGTTTTGAGTGTTTAGGGTTTTGAGGGTTTAGGGTTTAGGGTTTAGGGTTTAGGGTTTACGCTTCCACTTGCTGCGTAAAATGCAAAATTGCAGAACTGCAAATGGATGTCTCAATTTGAGGGTTTGAGGAACCACCAAACACCAAATCTAAAACACAAACCCTAAACCCTAAACCCTAAACCCTAAACCCTAAACCCTAAACCCTAAACCCTAAACCCTAGTTGGCAGCAACGCCAACGTGCTCGCAGAAGCGTCGTTAGAGCAGCAGCAGCAGCAGCAGCAGCAGCAGCAGGAACAGCAGCAGCAACAGCAGCAGCAGCAACAGCAGCAGCAGCAACAGCAGCAGCAGCAACAGCAGCAGCAGCAACAGCAGCAGTAACAGCAACAGCAGCAACAGCAGCAGCAGCAACAGCAGCAGCAGCAACAGCAGCAGCAGCAGCAAAAGCAGCAGCAGCAGCATCATCATCAGCACACCTAAGAGGGCCTTTGAATCCAGTTCGCAGTCCGCTGCTGCTGCTGCTGCAGCAGCAGCAGGTGCAGCAGCAGCAGCAGCAGCAGCAGCAGCAGGAGCAGCAGCAGCAGCAGCAAAAGCAGGAGATTCTCCATACATCCTAAACCCTAGATTGCTGTCTAGCTGAAGGTTAGATAGCAACAAACCCTTGGCCCCTGCTTGATCAAACAAACCCGCCATCTTCCTGCACACAAACCCTAAACCCTAAACCCTAAACCCTAAACCCTAAACCCTAGAATATAAAGATAATAATAAAATTATAAAAATCCTGCATTCTGTATTTAATTCGCGGAAAAAAAAAATTTTGATTTTTTATGAAAAAAAATT